TGTCAAGGACTTATTCTCTACCACTCTAGCACAAAATCTGGCATACATAAAGTCAAACTTCTGTTCAATTTCAGGTGCAATAACTCGCCTGGAATTTGTAGGGACTGAACTCTGTGACGCGTTGGACACTGTAAAGAGCATTGAGAATGAACTAAACCGAACTCGTGGTGAAATAAGTGACAGGATTAAAACCAAAATAGAAAGTGTTCTTCATCGGAATGCTGGTTATTCAACATTATGCAAGATTGCAGATATACTTTCCGGTAAACTAGCAACATTCGAAGATGATACAGAACTGTCACCAAACGACTTGACATTCTTCAAATATGCTCCTGTCACATCATGTGATGTGGAACGAAGTTTTTCCAAATACAAAACTATCCTTAGTGATAATCGGCGATCTTTCAAATTTGAAAATTTGAAAATGCATGTAGTTATAAATTGCAATTGTAACAGTGAAAATTGAGACGTGAATAACTCAGTGAAAATTGAGACGTGAATAGCTTGTGTTCTTTTAAATGGTGTTTTTAGATAACAGAGTTAAGTTAGTGTTCATACCATGTGCACCAGTGTTTGTCTAAAATATGAACGCAAATATCAGTATTAAAAAGAAAACAATGAATGGTTTAATCCAGTACGAAATGTCGAAATTCCATCAGTTTTCTTTCCTTCAGAGACATAATAGGGCTAATTTGGTAAGTAGGACCTACTATCATATATTCATCATCTTTATTCTTAAACTCTAGTAAAAGTTGTAATTAAAATTGTGAAATTTTATGTTCCATTTAATATTTAAGGTCATATTTTACACTTTTTAGGTCATATTTGACATAATTTTGGGTCATAAGTGCATGCATATATTTATAGTTTTTAGGTCATAAAAATCCGGGCCCTAGTAATGATAATGGAGTTAAGAGTTGTAAATTTTGCCACATCAAAAAATCTTACTGTCAGAAGTACAATGTTCCCACATCGTAACATCCATAAATTTACATGGACATCTCCTGATGGGAAGATACACATTCAACTCGACCATATTTTGATAGACAGGAGATGGCACTCAAGTAAACTTGATGCCCGATCATTCAGGGCAGCAGATTGTGATACTGACCATTGCCTCGTGGTGGCAAAGGTTAGAGAAAGAGCACTGAGCAAACAAACAAACACACAGAGTTCATATGGAGAGGTTCAATCTCAAGAAATTAAATGAGGTAGAGGGTAAAGAGCAGTATTGTGTTGAAATCTCAAATAGGTTCACGGCTTTCAAAAACTTGGAAACTGAGGTGGATGTTAATAAAGCTTGGGAAAATATTAGAGAGAATATCAAAATTAATGCCAAGGAGAGTCTAGGTTATTATGAACTCAAGAAGCATAATGAAGGATGTTCAAAATTACTAGACCAAAGAAAACAAGCAAACTGCAATGGCTACATGATCCAAGCAAGTAAAATGGGGATAATCTGAACAATATAAAACAGGAAACCAGCAGGAATGTCTGATTGCAGTGTAAGGAGGATTTTACACAAGGATCTAAATTTCAATCCATATAAAACGGTGCTGGTGTAAGAGTTGAGCAATCATGACATGGCAAACCGTAGGACATTAGCTGGGCGCTTGATCAGAATTTTGTCCGACGATCTCATTTTCCTTATGAGAGATGAAGCACACTTCCACTTATTTGCCTGTGTCAACAAACAGAATTTTCACTATTTGGCTGAAGAAACTCCACAGTGGCTCCAGCAATGACCTCTTCACGGCACACGTGTGACTGTTTGGTATGGAGTGGCAAACTTCAGAGTCACAGACCTTGTCTTTCTGGAGGCAAAGATGGGCATGCAGTTACAGTCACATCTGCTCGTTATGTTGAAATATTATGGAACTTCCTCATACCAGAACTGAGTCATCGTGGAACTGAGCTCCCAACCGTATGATTCCAGCAAGATGGTGCAACTGCCCATACAGTGGGAGCATCCATGGAGGTCGTTTTGGAAACGTTTTTGGCGCACGTTACTTCAATGTGTGGTGAGCTTCAATGGCCTGCACCTTTGCCTATCTGTGCCTGTGATTATTTCCTTCAGGGGTATGTCAAAGCGAAAGTGTACACCACTAGACCATGGACTATCAACAAACAAACTCAAGATCGCAATTTGGAAACAATGTGGTGAGGTGAGCACTGGGAGACCTGTGAGCAAGGTTGGAAGAGTGTGGGCACAATGAAGGGCAACATTTTAATGATGTGCTGTTCAAAACGAAATAAAGAGAGATGTAATGAAATGTATGTGGAATAAAATTACATTAAAAGTTCATTCATCTTGTAACAACAAATTAAAAATTAAAATAAAATTTCACTGCTCTATATACTTTTGAAAATCGTCAGGCTCCTCTCCTGCATCTTGTACTTCACACAATTGCAATGTTGTTGATTTGAATTTAAAACTAATTAACTAGTTACTTTAATTAATTTCATGGGGCAGTCTTTCTTGAGAAGCCAGCAGCTGCTCTTTTTCTTTACTGGCGCTACAACCCTGCGTAGGTCTTGGCCTCCTCTGGAGGTTTCTTAACAGTAAATTTTTCTGGGGTGGCGTCATTAGCCCCATGCCCAAAACCCCAACTTGAGGACCAGGGACTACACTTCCTCTGGCCCCTAACCTTTGACATGTCTGGTATGGGTGGCCCTACCAGGAGCTAATGCTCCCACTATTATAGCTCTCCTGGTCATTGTGTCAGGCAAACCTCCTCTCCATGATAAGGATGTCCTCAAGGGGGCAACAGCTGGTCAGCCACTCCCTACATTTTGTGGAACATGAAGAGTCATTACCATCTTCACAAGAGCCTACCACTGGTCTCTATCATGAGCCAATTTAATTGAGTCCACAATCCCCCAAACTAGTTTTCTAAGATCCATTTTAATATTATCTTCCCATCTAGCACAGCTCTTCCTAGTAGTCTCTTTCGTTCTGGTTTTCCCAGCAAAACCCTACATACATTCCTCTTCTTCTCATATATGTTACATGACCTACCCATTCCATCCTCCTTGACTTCATCATTCTAATATCATCTGACGATGGGTACAAGTTATGAAGCTCCTCACTATACAATTTTCTCCGGCCTTCTGTCATATCATCCCTTTCAGGTCCAGATATTCTCCTCAAGACCATGTTCCCCAACACCCTTAGTTTATATTCTTCTCTTAATGTGAAAGACCAGGTCTCACACCTGCATAAAACTACTGGGAAGATTATAGTTTTACATATTTTAATCTTTACATTTACAGACAAAAGATTCTGAACTGCATGACAGCAAGCATTCCCCAAATTTAATCTGAATAGAAAACATTCCAGACAAATGTTAACCTACACCCACTTTGCTTTCATATATACACACTTTAATTAAACTAAATAGTCTATGGAGATACCAAACTCAATGAGAATTATGAACAATACTTCCCTCTAAATTGAATCACAGGTTTTCTGGAAGTCCAGAGCTAGCTGATGTACTGTATCAATGTACTTGCATTCTTTCCCAATATTTGACAAATGTAGACTATCTGATCAGCAGTTCAGGCAGTATGTTGAAACCCACACATGAGCCCTAATAATTCGGTCTACATATGGAGTTAACTCTGATAGAACAACATAAAAACTTGACAAACTTTCCAATAAACTTAAGAATCCTATGAAGAGTATTATCTTTTGAGTGTGACACTGTACAGTCTGGTACATATTTACTGTTCCTCTGAAACATTGGTAAACATTTACCAGATTGCACAGTGTCACATCCCAAAAGGTCAGTACCCTCCAGAGTCACTGACCACCATGAGGTCATCAAATGTCACATTATTCAGAATGCTAAACTGGAGTTAGTATACCACAGTTCTATACAGCCACCATACTAACATTTTCAGTAACAAAAAGTTAAGGACCAGAGTGGGAAGATGATTAAATGTTTTTCTAATAAACCTATCTGGAAGAACCAAACAATTTTCTGCCTGGTTTAGCTCATTTCTGATATTTTCCTATGTGCATCTATGTCCAGATTTTCTAAATGTCCAGAGTTTTGGCCATAATGAATTCTCTCTATTCATGTTCAGTAAAGTAATAAAAAAAAAAAAATAAAGCTATCCCTGTAAGAGGCCATGAAGGCCCATAGGGTTGTGAGATGTTAAGGGTCCCCCATTACCTTGACAATCGGCTAAAAGATGGCGGTAAGGTTGTCAGCCTTACGCGCCGCCCGCATTTCACTCCCCAGGAAAATTATTTAATTAATTCCTGGTACTCATTGCTGTTAGAGGCTGAGTAAAACCCAGGGCCTAGTGCGGCTGGAAGGATTAGGTCAATTGAAAAAATCCAATGACCTCATCAGGAATTGAACCCGTGACCTTCCGGCTTGTAGCATAGTACTACAGTACTACATGTTCAGTGCATCTGCTAACTTCCAACACTCAACTTATCATTACCCATACTTCGAACAATCTCCATATCTGAATTGTCAGTCAGACCTTCTCTTCCCTTCCACCTTGAAATCTCTTAAACCATCACAAGAACACTGAGGCACTGTGTACATGTCTGCGGTATTTCTTGCCACCTACATGAAAACCTTATGATGAGTTAACGTTCAGACCTGCAATCTTCTAGAATGTGAAACCAGGTGGTCTTGTAGGTGAGCAGCAACTTATACTGGTAACCCTTATGGGGAGGCAACATTAAACAGGACTCATCTCTTAGAAACTTACTGTATCAAGACAGCAAAGTTACTTTGCTCCCTTTCCTTTCAACCAAAGTACAGAGACCACAGCACTGTTCCTTGGCTCATACAGTTCTGACGCTCAGTTCAACAAGAGGTAATTAGGACAATCTACTGCTAGATATCATCCCCCCTGATCCATGACTCTGAAGATGATAGAATATTTCTGGCCATAAACATTAGTCTCATTAATTTATTACCGCATTTCATAAATCTCACACAGACTGTATTCCCATAATTCAGCCAACTTTAAATTACCGAGTCCTTGTGCAGCCAACCATGGCGCTCTTCCAGTTTGTTCATATCAGCATCAAATGCACTGAGAAACTTGTACTTCAGATGCTCATCATCCACCAGATGCCACTGACGGCGCGCATAATGATATGAGTCATTGTTTCCAGCTCGTGGAAAGTCTAGCCATTCAGGATGTCCAAATTCATTGCCTGAAAATTGTTAAACTTGTATTACTTTCCACCAGTTAAAGTTAAGTAAATCTTTCATGTTATTAAATTTTGAACAATCAAGTCATCCAATCCATCAATCTTTCAACTGCTCATCAAATTATTCAATAAGACCAATCCATCATTCAGTCAACCACTCAGACATTCAATCTACTGTCCAAGAACCATTTAATCAATCATTCATATGATCAAACAACCTATCATTCAGTCAATGACCAATCAAGCACTCATTTAGTCTAGTAATCAACCAACAACCAACCAACCAATCATCAATCAATTCTGAGTCCTCCTCCTGTTCCTCCAAGGTTTTTCCCTTTAAGGTTTCCCTACACCAAGTTTCCATCTCTAATAATTTTCTCCACCTTCCATTAGTTCTTTCATCCTGATTTCAGATGACATAGTGTGCCACTTCTCCAGTGACCAGCTGGACTCCATTCCAATTCCTGGCATGGCAAGCAGTGTTCTTCCATTTGATAAATATGTCCATAACATATCTACTGTTCTTCAGCTATGTGATTTTTACCATCACTTCTACTTTGACCTCTTGTCTAACTACAACATTGCAGACATTATGCAGAAGTGTTTTCTTTACACACCCAAAAGCCCATTTCTCCTACTAATAATCTCCTGCATACCTTCGTTTATTGTCCATGACAGCTACAAGTGTTACAGATTCTACAAAGAAGAAATGGATTCATTTTGGTAATATACTTCAATACCACAAGACTGAATTCAGTAGCAGCTTATCCTTTCCTTATTTTGCCGCATACATCTTTGTAGCTTGTGCCCATTCTATTGAAGACACAACCAAAATAATTATAACTGGAACATTCTTTAGTTTTTATGTGTAAATTTACACATTTTCGGCTTGTGAAACAATTATAGGAAGATTTTCGATTTGTTTTCTTCAAATTTATCTCTAGTCCCTACCTGGTACTGTCTTCCAAAAACGGTCATTCAGCCAGAAACACTATTCTCTCTTCCAATCTCAATACCTAAATATATATTGTACTCTACTGAACAGTGCCTGTAACCCAATTCAGGTAGTACTAAAAAATTTACAACAGACATTTAGGCCAATGCAGTATTCTACACATTCCAAAGTAAGAAGTTTAAATATCTTATGTCATCTAATATAATTGATGTAAAACTCTTTCTACAACACAAGCAATAATGATGCTTCTTTGTTTATTTTCAGTTGTTTTAGCATCAACTGATGACAGGAAATTTATGAATAAGTCGGGAGGACACAAAGATAAAAACTGCAAATTGCTCAGGAAATTAACAAAACTCCAATGTCTGTTTCACTATAAAACACAGATGTGCAAGAGCAAAAAATATTTTTCAATGTGTTCATTTTTAAATTTATTTAATGACACTTTTTTCAATAGCAAATATTTACAAGAGAACAGTAGGATGAAGGATGAAGGATGAAGGATGAAGTAGGAAAAATATGAACACAGTTGTGATTTGAATTGCATTACTCTCCCAACACATTCCTGGAAAGACAAAGGAAGATCACATAAAGAAATAGAACATGTTACATGTACACCCATTGCTAGGCAACGGGTTGGTAAACAAGTTCCTGTGAAGACAAATTCTTGGTAAAAAGTCTGTTGCTAGGTCACGCAACAATAGGACGAATGTTTATAACTCGTTGCTAGGCAACAATCACCGCGCCAATGACCTGGCAAGTTAGCTATCACATGACTTGTATGTAATGTGGTTCGTGCCATGTCCAGTGCTAAGCAATTGAACTGTAAACACATCTACAATAATCGGTATTTTCTAAGGGGTCCGTGCCAAAGGTTGACATGGAGACAGTGAAGGTCGTTTGCAGTCAGTCATAGCTGAGAAGCCATAAATCAACGACACGAAGCTGTCATGGAAAAAGAGTCCAGGAGGTTCAGCAGTTGAGAGTATGAGGATGAGAATGAAGAGTGTCTTTAGGGAATTGTGAAGATTAATTGAATACAGATTAGGACAGAGGAGTACAGAGTGACTGACAAAGAAATAACAGGAAAATTTCAGTGTGGTTTGAAGCACTAGTTTCTATGCTGAGATCCATTGCCAGGAGGCGACTAGTAAAGGCAGACAATCCTAGGGCATAATGGTGAACTGTAAATTGGGTAAATCAGCGACAGCGCCATAATAATTGTAATTAAGAGAGAAACTGTAACAGAAGTGCTAATAAATCCAATCATCCTAACTAGATTTCATCATGCATACCAGTTTACACATGACAATATCTATTAAGGAACTAAAACGTTTAGATAATAAATTAAATTTAACAGAACATCCTTATACATCCAAACATCTGCGAGGCTATCCACATAGTTCTATATCACTGGTCCTGATTAAAGAAAGCTAACTTAATGAAGTTGATCTGGCAAGAGACACAGAAGGTTTGCCTTACTTCAAATGCTCATTTTTAAATTGGTCAGAAGAATTCAAGTTGATCAAGATGTGGACACTAATGCTTTATAACTGCACAGGACAATGGATGCTGTCTGCATATGTTTTTCCCTCCATTCTAATACAATAAAACTTGATTCTTTTAATCTTTAAATTCTGCACCCTGTTGTGTTTACCAACTATAAAAATCCATAGACATTAAGTTTAAATTAATAACTGTTCAAAGAACTCCAATGATGACGTATCAGGTGGTACACTAACTAGAAACCTTATCACTGAGTGGTCATATTTTACCGCTACCTGCCTGAAATGAGGATCCAGTTTTCGGAAATTTGACATTGTATTATATATGCCAAAGCTTTAATGAAGTGTTGTGTAAATATTTAAAGAAAAAAGTATGATAAAATGTTAAATACACACGTTGCTGACAAAAACTCATTTAGTAAAAGCCCCGCATTTAGTGGAATAGATTTGCTGGTCCCAGCTGAAGCACAATATAAATAATTTCAATCTAGTATACAATGAGCAGGAAATTTTCACACTTCCAGAATTTCTACTTCAATTTACTGTCCTCGTGGCTCAAACAACTATCAACATTCACATTTTCTCTCTGCCAAAGACAGTTCCCACATAACCATTCTGTTTATTCCATATCATTAATTATTGTGGAAATGTATTTAAAATGACTAACTTGAAACTGCATTTACTAGTATTTGTGTACAAACTAAGGCAACTCCACGGAACTGAATCCTTAAGAAGCCAACAGTTGCTCAGGCACACAAGAAATTCCCAACATTTCAAAGAACCCCAAGGTTCATTACTGTGTTCACAAGAGAACGTCAGTAGCCTCTATCCTCAGCCAGATGAATTCAGTCCACACTCCTCAACCCATTCTTCCAAAATCTGTTTTAACATTACCCTCCCTTCAATGTCTACATCTTCCTAGTGGTCTCCTTCCTTCAGGTCTTCCTGCTAAAACCATGTATGCATGTCTGTCACACACATGCTACATAACCCACCCATCTCACTCTCCTTGACATGATCATCTTTATAATGATTTTTGATCAATACAACTTATGAGGATCCCCATTATTACCCATACATACTTCACCATAGCTTTCACTTAAACACATTTTAATTGATGTAACTAGTTTCATGGATATACCAAACTCAATGAGTATAATGTACCAATACTTCTTTCTTAAATGAATCACAGACTTAAATAGACGATGTACAGTCTCATTTTACTGCCACTCTGTATTCAGCATTTGATGAATGCAACAAATGTGATCAGTACTTGATTTATTATCTTAAACCTGAAGAGGACGTTGGATAAAATTCTGTACAAAGCTGATAACAATAACATGCCTCAATTATTACTAGAGTCAATTTTACCACATTTCTTGAAAATTGGTAAAATAATAGACCCCCTTCCATAGCTGAGGCAATTCTCTATTCCAAACAGAATTAATGAGCTTATGGATCTCATTTATTTGGGTACAGTTTCTTTAACTACTTACATAATAGAATTATTTCATCATAATTACATACAGTATACCTTATATTATTTGGTTTATTTAACCAGTCCTGCCAGTAGCTCAGACTATGTAGTGCACATTGGTAGAATGATTACTGAAATTAATTAGAAAGGATGTAAAGTGACTGCAGCCTAAATTGAGGTACTATCCTGGCATTTGCAACAGCAACTGAGTAAAACCATGATTATCAGTGTTCTGGTTTAGATTTGAACCAGGCACCTCACAAATAAATCAGATGCATTACTGCTTGAACCAGCTTACTTCGTAGTAAGTTTTATAAGACAACCGCCAGTTTCTTATTGCAATTTTGTATACCACTCTTTCACTGCAAATCTGAATTTAGGATATGAAAAGTCTTTCCTCCAGAGTGTAATTAAATATGTTCTTCGATGTAATATTTAACGAAATTGAGCACTGACACCCACTGCATAGGAAAAGCTGGCTGGGTAGGTCTCCAAGCTGGTCTGGATCTGTAATGTGGAGAAGCAACCCTACTCCTCCTGCAACCAAATCCCAGCTTTCCAGCCTACAGCCAGTCACTATGATGACTGAGCAATCCTGGCCCCCATGACATGATCACCCACAAACCATAACATCTCTGCACAGTTCTGAATTGCGAACAACAACAGCGACATTCTCCACAACATAAACTCTTCATTTTGTTGTGATACTGTGACTTTCACTTACCCATGAAGTTGAGATATGCCTCCCCTCCCAATCCATGTGTAATCAGCCTTATCATCTTGTGCAGTGCTAATCCTCGATCAATGATTGGTGATGGCTGAGAGAAGATTGACATGTGTGTATACATCTCCTTGTCCATTAGCCAAAATGCAATTGTCTTGTCTCCAACCAAGGCCTTAAACCAAAGAGTACATGGATATAGGCCTATAAAGACACTCAATAAATGAGTGACAAGCAAAACTATGCACACGTCCTGGATCAGCTACTGAGGCTATACACCATTAAACTTCAGTTGGAACAACATAAATGACAGGCTGCATCTTATATTATTTAATGATAATGTGACATGTAGACCCATTCTTGGGCAACGACTCTGTAAACACATTCCTGCAACAATGAACATGCAGGTAACACTGGATAACTTCCATTACTATGCAACGTGCCATAAATACAATAATAGTGGAAGTGGCGTTTTCTATGTGGTTTGCATATATCCATTGCTGGGCAATGGATGTGTTTTCTATGCAAGTTTTGTTTTTGTCGCAGTGGTTTCTTGATTAGATTTGTGTTGTATGCATTTCTTTGTAGTATGTTTTTATAGTGCTTTTTGTTTGTTTTGATTCTCTAGTTACTGGATATGTGTGTAACGGTTGTCTGCTGTTCCCAGGTTGCATGCAAAAAAAAACGTTGCTCATGACTTTCGGTACGATGTACATACATTCCTACAGTGAACAGTGACTTGTGACGAGATGTAAGTTCACTACTTCATGCAGCTAGGATATAAATTTCAAACCAATAAACCCAAACGTTGTTTCATGAATTGGCAATCATGATAAAAAAAACTTTTATTCTGCTGGCATCAGTAACTTGCCAGGATGATGGAAAAAACGTGTCCGTCTAAAGTAAAAATATCTTGAAAAGACATTAAAGTCTGGACATTTCTGGCATGTATATTCTTTTTGAGGAAGTAAAATTTAAGTCCAGGTTAATCCCAAACCACTGTCATAACATGAATCTACATGAAGCATGGACTATCCCTATTTATCCAATACAAATTCCCACAGGCAACACAGTAATGCAATATAATAATTATCACTTGTTTCTCATAGCCTGGTCTAGAAAACCGAAATTAACGGCCATGGGGATTCATTGTGCTGACCACACGACATCCTCTATCTGCTAAAGTTGGCACTAACTTCGCTGACAAGTGGCGGTCGCTTGGTTGGTATAGTTCGCTTGCAGACTAAAGCCACAGAGTTTGTTTTCTTTCTTTGTTTCTCATAGCTGTTCACTGGAAAGAAAGACTTGTCTTCTGTCCTGGGTCAAAATATTGGACTTCCAGGAAAGCAATTTCAAGTACAACACCTGAATTCTACATATGGACTTGAATTCTGGGACAGTTCACATTGGTTTCAGACAATATTTTGTTTATCAAAATCAGAAATGCAATAGGACCGTTCCTACACCTATCACAACATCCTGTCAATAAGCGGTCCCTGCAGATCACGAATCATAAATCAGAAAAGAGTAGCAATGTTCAATATAACATGAGTGTATGTGTTACAAACGGCATGGAAAGATGAACTATCTACTTCGCTTAAATTCATCAGATATACTATGTTCTTCATGGTAGAAGTAGTTCTGATGGAAAGTTATATTATTTTCCTGACTCATACCATAGCAATTTGGTCAGAAATATACTCTTAGTACATTTTGAATGATATTTAATTACAGTCACTCGGTGAAAGGATGTCATAGATTCTACTATATCTTCATGCCCAAAAATTATTTACATAACTTAAAATCCTACTCTATTCCAATCTAGAAAGTTTAGAACTTGGAGTTTGTGTGTATATGCATGTTTTAAATGTGGTACAGTTAAGTTCATGAGTTACAGTGCAGTTCTTATATGTGCACACAAACATTCACTTGTAAGCTGAAATATTCAACAAATCTCCAGTTAATTTAATTCCATAACCTTCATTTTTCAAAGAAATACAGATGTAATAACAATAATTCTGCATAAGCAGGTGCTTTCATTGTTGCGATTCTTCTACAAGTATGTTTGTGATACTGAGCACTTAACTCTAATTACCTGATCATGTGATTCTGCATAAGCAACTGTTTTCTCCTGCCACCGTCGATTTGTAAGTGTGTGAATAATATTGCCAATATCCCAATCATCATCTTTTACTTCCTTTAGAAGTTTTATCCATTTATCTGGGATTGCCATACCAAGTCGATAATCAAACCCAAGTCCTCCCTCTGAAACAGGACGGCATGATGCTGGCATACCAGACACATCCTGAAAAATATACCATAAAATACCAACTTCAATCATGACTCTGAAAGCCATTTAATCTGCAGTGGGAGCCAGGATAGCCCAGACAGAATAAATACTAAGCTAGACGCTGGACAACTGCAGATTCAGGGTTCAATTCCTGTCAGAGGTCAAGAGATATTTCTTTTCTCCACATCTTCCAGACTGGACATGGGACCCACACAGCCTCCAGTTGATGGGTAGTCTCTATCCAGGGGTAAAGTGACTGCAGTGTGAAGTTGACAACTCACCTCCATCTAATGCTGAAGTCAACATACCCAGGGCTTTGCTTCCACTCCCTAAATGCCTTCACTGCATGACGTTAATTAAGCAAACTATGAACACACATAATATTATTAACCTATTACCCATATGAATAGATTATTATTTCCAGTATTGATTCATTCTTATGTATAAGGTAAAAAATTGGAAACAATGAGGATCACTTTCAGCCTATTTTCTTTCCAAAAGAAAGTAGGCTTATGAGATCACCATGCTGTCTGTATCTTAACACCTCCAATTTAAATTTCTGAAGCACTTCACAGATTTCAGTCTTGGAAACTTGATACAGGAACAACACCTGTCATTTGAAAAGGAACTTACGTTTTGCATGCAACTTTCATTAGATCAGTTTTTAAGTAAACGGAAAATATCAAATGAATTCATGTATAAGCTCTTATCTTTTGTCACTTTGAAATTTGTAAAACTTCTTTGTCATTAAACGCAACTTTATGAAAATTTTCTACATCATTCTGATCACTTGGAAAATCTGTTTCTATTAGCAATGCTGAACTGAAAAACAAGGTGATGTCAAGTATGACAGATCAATAAGTGTTTCTTACCAAAATCATTTACTCTTCTGGTGGTCTTGTATTGATATTAAGAGCCAATATCACTGAGTTCTCTGTTCATGCTGTGCCATGAAGGGGCACTATCTACTGGTCTGTTAAACAGTTTGTAGAACCAGGATGATAAAAGGAAACCCTGTATATTTAATCATTCTCTCACATGTATTAACTGCACACTGTAGAGGTTACAGAAGATATGTAACAATGTATAGTTAACTTGCCTCTCTTCACGTAACAATGTAACTAAAGGAACAGATAAAGCTTCTGCCTTCCTTAGGAATAAAAGAAATCATCTCCAATCTACTGGAAGTCTTATGGGAGAAGGAAACACTTTTTATGTATCATGTGACTGCTTCCAATTTCAATATTAATGACTCTACATCAATTATTCTGACTTCCTATGAATTCTAACTGGATAACATACATGAAAACAAATATGCTTTTGATAATGCAAATTAAGTCCAATGTAGTGCTTCACAGATAATTTAAAAGAAATACTGATCATCTCCTGAATTGAACATAGAGAAGACACTTTTATAGTTTTGTAGTTCATACAGAATAGACATCTACAGACTCCAATGACTCTCTGAAATTAACAGTAAAACCAACAAGAAGTTCTGGGTAGAACTCATCGCTTATATTTCCTTTCACTAGAAACTGAGTATTTGTTATGACAAATGTTGCATAGTGGAAATTATTTATACCTTTGGTACCCAGTTAAGTTAAAAATTGCACTATATGAGGTGCTTTCAGAAAGTTCCCAGACTAGGTCAAAAAATAAATTGTGGTTTAACTTACTCAATTTTGGCTACCATCTCCCTCAAAATAGATTCCTTGGGAACATACACAGCAATCCCATCGTTTTCTCCGCACTTCAAAAGCACCATATAAGTCATTTTCCTTAATGCTGTCAAGTACTGCTTATGATCCTAGAGATAAAACTAAGGTCCTCGTTAGTCTTCTCTCACAGCTCAAGACACACATTTACCTGCCACTGCTTTTGATCATTTGTCAAGAGTTGGGGAACAAACTTTGTGGCAATGTGGTGCACATTCTAATTTTCTGTTAAGACCTCCTAGCAAACTCTATAACTGATCCCAATGGTGTCTGCGACATTTTCTGTCATTTTGCTGGTGCTTGGTCACCCTGAACGTTCATCATCTTCAACTGACACTCAAGCGGCCTTGAAATGTGAATGCCATTGAAAAACCACTGTTGGCTCAAAAATGTTCTCCAAAAGTATCATGAAGCATTTGAAGGGTTTTGCTAGTGGAATTACCGAGTGTCATGCAAAACTTGGTGCAGACATACTGCTCAATTTTGCCATCTGTCATAGAAAAGATGAAATAAAAAGTTGTAAAAGCACTTGCGTATAAACAATGTATTCACAGTGTGTCGTGTGGCAGACTGATATAACAGGCTTGCCCAAGTGTGACCTAGCCCTCCCCTCTCATCTTCTTCCAATGAGGCAGTTACAACAGTAACAGTCCAGGAACTTTCCAATAGCACCTCGTATACATACATACATTTATCTTTCCCTCTCTGGCTGTTTCCAAACATTTAGCTGTGAGCTGAATCTGGACTTAATTGCAAGATGAGCTACTTTGTTACATTACTTCCTTAGGTCCCTCCAGACAAATTACAGGACAGTATATAAAATTCCTAACATAAATCTGCTTGCCATTCATATTCATGTAAACACTACACTAACTCTCCATTCCCACATGTCTTTAGTACATGATATGACAGCAATGAAGAGCCAATAATTCAATCAATGCATGACACACTGGTTGAATCTCTCAGTATAATTTCATCTCCCTCTAACACTCATTGTGAATTCTAACATGCAAAACTAACCTCAGCAATTGTAATGGCATTTGGGTACAACTCATGAAGCATATGGTTAGCCAGCATCAAGTATACCAATGCCTCTGTATCAACATTCAGACCAAAGTACTCATCGTAATGGCCGCTGAAACCTTCTCCAATTCCACGGGAATGATACAACATGGACGTGACACCATCAAACCTGCCAACATGAACAATTTTGAAGGGATCTACCTTCTGGGATATAACGCCAAGTAATCCATTGAAAATCAACTGACATTTTGGAGGAAAATGTCGCCTCCATCTTCAGGGCAAAAGAATAAACCAAGCAAGAAACCAGCATGAAAACAGGTGGCAAGCAGAGCTTCACAATGGTTTCTTGCTTGGCTTACACTTTGGCCCTTTAGATGGAGGCGACATTTTCCTCCAAAACGTCAGTTGATTTTAAATGGATTATATGGCGTTATATCACATAAGACAGAGCTTTTCATAATCACCACTGCGATAACCTCAAACCCTACATAAGTACAGTTCTGTTTAACCACTTTCTCATGACTACCATACAGGGGTAAAGTAAAATAAATCTGGAGACCCTATTCTGTAAAAAATGGCAAACAAATTTTAATAAAAATAATTTTAGAAAACTTTCATTTCCTCTTCTGATCTTCATATAGGCATTATATAATCATAGGGCACATATATGAAATATAAAAAAGAATGAAATATCATGCACAATTTACGAGAAGTGCAAGATACAAAGATAGCTTTCCAAGAAACATATTCTAAGAGCCACAGCCATCAAACACATCTTCCATTACAATCTGAATATCAATTTTCTGTGCAGTCATATCAGCATCCCTATTTTGCATATAATGAAACCCCCATTTAAGGTTTCTTTAGGGAGTAGCAAATCAATCACTAAACTGATGAAAATCTTAAATGGAGGAAATTAGCACTGAGTTTATTAACCTGGTATCAATGGAACTGTATGTTAAATGAAGGAAAACCTTAAACTGAAGAATATTTAATAGGGGTTCCACTGTATATAGTAGAACAGACATAGTTTCTAATCATTAGTACATATAACCATACAAGTTACTCATTCTTTAGCAAGAAGCTACACAGAGTGTCAACTTCTCTCCATTTCTGTAACTTCCAAGCATTATTCCTTACATGAGTCAAGTTCCCAGCAATATACAGGGTATACACAAAAGAATGGTGCAGTTTCAAAAGTTAATAAAACATTTATTTCTCAACTTACATGGGCACAACATACACTGTCAGATGCGGCAACTGTCCAAGTTTCTCATGCGCTAATTAGAAACCTCCAATGTGTGCACACTTCTCACTCGGGGCGTGGATGTTTGGGTGCGTTTTTCTGTGTTTGTGTACAGGTAGAGGCCTTACGACGAGCTGATCACCCACTGAAATGAGGGCTGTAGCACCAAAAGAAAAAACAAATGTGTGCACCCTGGATTACACAACACACATCCACGTGGTAATCAAAGTCTGCTGCAGAGACAACAACCTTCTCCCTTGGCCACCCCATTCAGCAGATCTTAGACTGTGCGATTTCTTTCTTTGGGGGTTTGTTAAAGATAGCGTTTATGTACCACCATTGCCGACGTCCATTCATGAACTTCGTGATTGGATAACGCATGCACTGCAGGCCATTACAGTGGATATGCTACACCGGGTCTGGGATGAGTTTGATTACCGTGTGGATGTGTCGTGCGACCAAGGGTGCACACATTGGAGGTTTCTAATTAGCGCATGAGAAACTTGGACAGTTGCCGCATCTGACAGTGTATGTTGTGCCCGTGCAAGTTGAGAAATAAATGTTTTATTAACTTTTGAAACCGCATCATTCTTTTGTGTATACCCTGTACATAGACAGATTCATGCACTGCAAGATTCAAATACTTCTGAAGCCAATTTTTGGTCTACTGCATGAAAACATTCATTTGCAATGCCACAAAACATAATACTTGCTACTGTTTTTAAAGACTCCAGTTTTTGTTATTTTTCTCAGTTCGTCACTACTTTTCATACAATTTGCAATGAGCCGTCATACTTTCACAAGAACTGAACATACATTTTAAACAGAATATGGTTTTCTGATAAAGCTTACTTTCATTAAGATGGCTATGTGGGCAAAAGGAGTGCTAAATACTGGGCTGCACAAAGTCTACAGACTGTAATTCACATCACATACATTCTCAGTGAGATACAGTGTTGTATGAACCTTCTGGTATTGGCATATTTGAACACATGTTCATTGCACACCCTAAAGTTTTGCAGAATAATATCCTTCTTTTTCCAATCAGTAACAGTGCTGATAAGGTCTGGTCCCAACAAGGTGGCACAAGGCTTCATATAGCTGGTACTGTGTTGGATTTTTCAGAAGAAATATTTGGAGACTAGGTAGTCTCAAACACCCTTCCTCATCTTCATTGTACAGGTTCCCACTGACCACACATTTAAATCCAAGTGGCTTTTACCTATGGGAATATCTTGAGGATAAAGATAACCATTGCACAACTTACAATTTGAAATGCACAACAAGGTTAAGAGGGTTTTTTAGTCTCCACACAAAATTTGAAGTTATACTACAGATTTCTTTTCATTTCACAGGGCATATCAAACATCTTTTGCACAGACAACTGTACTTCCTATGTGTAGTCATGTGAAAATGCTGTGCCACTCTATTCTGAGAGCCTTCTTACAGGTGCCATCTGCAATGTGGAACTCTTAAATTAAATACAGGTTTATAATATTGTCACACGATAGAGTGACTATAGATGAGGTTCAAATTGATAATTAGATTTACTGAACACTTACAGAGAGGAAGTAGACAGACTGAATGAGTTACACACTTCAAAGATTAGTGTAACTACAGCATACATAAAGTCTTCTCAGTTTGCTATGTCTTCACCATTCATTGCCTGGTGACATATCTAAACAATGACCTCTGCTTCTGTGCTCACATTCTTACCTGCTGGTGACTGTCTCACAAATAACTCATTGCTCCAACTGTCCCGCTGATAACACCTCGGCATGGACAGTACAGAAAACACTGTTCCTCTGCTGCCGTTTCCAATTGCCACCATGCAAACACGCTTGTATGAGAAGCCCTTACTCAGTAATAGCTGCTGTATTTTTACTTATCTCAAGGTCACTGCACAGCAATGGGTCTACATGCCAAAATATGCTCACAGGTGACAATATGACAGAACGTACCTCCAAAATGTCAGGAATATCACCCAAAACCACATTATGCAATAGCCCAAAAACAGGATCAACCTCAATAATTAACCACCACAAAAGCCTAAAATCAGTAACTACTAGTCCTTACAAACATACATATTTTTAAAATTCATGTATTTCCTTTACAATAAATGCCACAATAGTATTCAATTCTGGGACACGTATGAAATTAGGTGAATGAGATCCTGAATCAGTTTCTCCTCAATACAAGAACACATCCAATTACCTGAAGCCATCAAAGCGGTATTCTTCAGCATACCATCGGAGATTGGACAGCAGAAATCTCAATACCTCATACCTGAAATGAAAATTTAATGTTTAAAAAGGTTCAATTATATATGTGGTGCTTTCTTTCAGAAAATGTGAAGGTCCATTAAGAAAAGTGAGTGACTTCGGAATAAATAATTTTGGTTTTTTCTTGGTATGGATAATTAAGCACAGACTTTACTTTACTTTTACTCGTATTTTACTAGGGAAAATTACATTTCCTCCTTTTTCACATTCTGGCTGGTTCTGAGGGCCACACAATCGCCTTACCCTCCTTGGGACTGGGGACTAGGGCAGTGTTCCGCAACCGGTGTGCCATCACAAGGTGAAAGGTGTGATGTGAACTTTTACCTATTGTAAGAAATTAACTGTCGAAATTGTCGAATTTTATCCCAGCTACCGTGTTTCATATGCTTGTATTTTATTCTCAGCCACTGCACTGATTAAATAAGATGAAGCTTGTTTATTATTACATGCTGTGATTTTTTATGTACAGTAATGTTGTATTCTAAGAAATTAAATGTAAATTATTTATTCACAGTTATTGTTATATCATAGTTTTATTTATTAATTAATTTTTATTTTTCTCGCATCTACGCAGCTTCTTTAATATGCTTGCCGCATGTTCTTTGTATGTGCTTTTCCCTAAAACTGCAGGGATTAGCATGGGTTTTCCTGTCTTTTATAATGCTGTTTCGGTATTTGCCCGTTTGTTAGAAGTTGGAGCTTCTTCAACTTTATGACTTTCTTCCTGCAACAATGCACCCACCGATTGTTGGACTTCATATAAATTATAAATATTTCAAAAATAAGTCGGTATAGTGTCACTTCTTCCGTTTGAAGAGTAGAGATCCCGCGTTTTCCAATTGNGAATTCAGAACATCTTCCGATTAATATACAACAGGAACTCGCAGATTTAAAAGCAGACAGAACATTGAAACTAAAACTTCTCAAAGTGCCTTTAGATATGTTTTGGTTGGCAATAAGGAGTGGATACCCGGCTATCTCCGAGATGGCAGTTAATGTGTTATTGCCATTTTCAACTACATATTTGTGTGAACTGGGCTTCTCGACGTTAACTGAAATTAAGACATCAAAGAGGGAGCGGCTCAAATCCATCAATGAAGAAATTAGACTTGCATTGTCAACGATTCCACCACAGATCAGTCGCCTGTGTGCAGGCACAAGTATCACATTGAAGGTATGAGTAGAATTACTGTATTTACTTTAATAGTAATAGAAGTGTATTTTCTACACTCTACAGTGAATTAAAGTTCATTAATTGTTAATAAATGCATGAGTCGATTTCTGTTTAATAATAAAATAACAATATAATAATAATATAGTAATAAGTTGATCACGTTACGTATTTATATTAATTGTCTGATATCATGCGCTTCTGAGGGGAATAACATTTTGGTGTGCCGTGTTGAGTCATGGATACTTCATGGTGTGCTGCGAGTAGAAAAAGGTTGCGGAACACTGGACTAGGGCATGATGGCAAACACCTGACTTTCTTCCAGGCCAAAGGTTAACTCTCTGCATGCCACATACCAACTGGACAGGCTTGGGTACTTGAGCTGAAACTGTCATTGCTGAAGATAGGCTTGCTGTTAATCGATCAGTATAGCATTTCTATAGACAGCATCAAAGCCATGTTAGGTGGGTTTCTGTCACCACGGCATGGCGCAGCCTCAGGTTGCGGATGGAGGAGACGCCCTCCAGTTTTGGAGGGAAGCTGCGAATATATTGAATAAGCAGTCCTGGACAGCCGACAAGGGGTGGCCCTCCAGCTTGGGGGGTTGGGCGTGGGGCTAACAACTCCTCACCATAAAAAATCATTACGTTACGAAAATGAACATAAAGCCTCGGAACTGGACAGATTCCTTGGATAAATGACCTAAACTAATAAAAATGGATATGATATTTGGCACTTGGAATGTACGAAGTTTCTATAGGGCAGGTTCACTCAGGGCAGTGGCAGAGAAAATCTTAAAATATAAGTTAGATTTAGTGGGAGTATAGGAGGTCAGATGAGATGGAGGTGGCATCGCACCAGCAGGAGACTATACATTTTTCTACGGAAAGGGGAATGAAAACCATGAATTAGGTACAGGTNTATCAGCAATTAAGAGGGTAGAATTCGTTAGTGATAGGATATCATATATAATACTAAAAGGTTGCTGGTGTGATATCATTGTTACGAATGTTCACGCCCCAACAGAAGATAAAATTGATGATATAAAGGATAGATTCTATGAAAAACTAAAACATGTATTTGATAAATTCCCGAAGTACCCTATGAAAATTTTGTTAGGAGATTTCAATGCCAAAGTAGGGAGGGTAGACATTTTCAAACCAACAATTGGGTATGAGAGTTTGCATGAAATTAGTATGATAATGGAGTTACAGTTGTAAACTTTGCCACATCAAAAAATCTTACTGTCAAAAGTACAATGTTCCCACATTGTAACATCCATAAATTTACATGGACATCTCCTGATGGGAAGATACACATTCAAGTCGACCATATTTTGATAGACAGGAGATGGCACTCAAGTAAACTTGATGCCCAATCATACAGGGCAGCAGACTGTGATACTGACCACTACCTCGTGGTGGCAAAGGTTAGAGAAAGACTGGCACTGAGCAAACAAACAAACACACATAGTTCATATGGAGAGGTTCAATCTCAGGAAATTAAATGAGGTACAGGGTAAGGAGCAGTATCGTATTGAAATCTCAAATAGGTTTGCGGCTTTGGAAAACTTGGAAACTGAAGTGGATGTTAATAAAGCTTGGGAAACTATTAGAGAGAATATAAAAATGTCTGCCAAAGAGAGTCTAGGTTATTATGAACCGAAGAAGCATAAACCATGGTTTGGTGAAGGATGCTCAAAATTATTAGATCAAAGAAAACAGGCCAAATTGCAATGGTTACAGAATCCAAGTGAGTTAAATGGGAATAATCTGAACAATATAAGATATGAAACCAGCAGGCATTTCAGGAACAAACGAGGGAATATCTGAAAGACAAAATTGATGAGATTGCAATGAACAGTAAGTACAAGAACATTAGAGACCTGCATAGAGGAATAAATGACCTTCAGAGGGGTTACCAGCCTAGCAGTAACTTGGTGAAGGATGAGAATGGTGACCTGCTTGCAGATTCCCACAACATTTTGAATAGGTGGAGGAACTACTTCTCTCAGTTATTGAATGTACATAGGGTCAGTGATGTTAGGCAGACAGAAATCCATACAGCTGAGCCATTAATGCCTGATCCTAGCCCTTTTGAAGTTGAAACTGCTATTGCAAAATTGAAACAGTATAAATCGCCAGGTAGTGATCAAATTCTGGCAGAACTTATTCAAGCAGGAGATGAAATATTACATTCTAAGATCCACAATCTAATTACTTCTATTTGGCATAAGGAAAAATTGCCTGATAAGTGGAAGGAGCCTATTACTGTACCAGTTCACAAGAAGGTGATAAAACTGACTGTAGTAATTATCGGGAGATATCAGTGATATCAACTTCATACAAAATTTTGTCCAATAATCTTCTGTCAAGGTTAAGTCCATATATAGATGAAATTTTGGGGGATCATCAGTGTGGGTTTCGACGTAACAGATCAACTACAGACCAGATCTTCTGCATTCATCAGATATTGGAGAAAAAATGGGAGTACGATGAGACAGTACATCAGATATCTGTAGACTTCAAGAAAGCCTATGATTCATATAGGAGGGAAGTATTGTACAATATTCTGATTGAGTTTGGGATACCCATGAAACTAGTTAACCTGATTACAATGTGTTTATATGAAACTTAGAGTAAAGTCCTTATAGGTAAACATTTGTCTGATAAATTTCCTATCCAGAATGGTCTAAAACAAGGAGATGCTTTATCACCACTCCTTTTCAACTTTGCCTTAGAATATGCAATTAGGAAGGTCTAGGGAAACCAGGTGGGACTGAAGTTAAACGGGACACATCAGCTGTTGGTCTACGCCAATGATGTGAATCTACTGGGTGATAATGTAGATATCATAAAGAAAAACACACAAATTTTAATTGACGCAAGTAAAGAGGGTGGTCTGGAAGTAAACACAGAGAAAACTAAGTATATGTTACTGTTTCATCACCAAAATGCAGGGCAAAATCATGACATAAAGATAGGAAACAGATGTTTTGAAAATGTGGCACAGTTCATATATTTGGGAACAACGATAACAGATCGAAACCTGATTCGGGAGGAAATTAAGAGGCGACTGAACTCGGGTAATGCTTGCTACCATTCAGTCCAGAACCTTTTGTCTTNAGTGACAGGAGGTTGGAGAAAACTGCATAATGAGGAGCTTCATAACTTGTACTCTTCTCCAAGTATAATTAGAATGATCAAGTCGAGGAGGATGAGGTGCACAGTGCATGTAGCACGAATGAGGGAGACGAGGAATGCGTATAGGATATTAGTGGGAAAGCCCAAAGGAAAGAGACCACTGGGAAGACCAAAGCGTAGGTGGGTGGACAATATTAGAATGGATCTTGGAGAGACAGGATGGGATGGTATGGATTGCATAGATCTGGCTCAGGATAGGGACCAGTGGAGGGCTCTCATGAACACGGTAATAAACCTTTGGGTTCCATAAAATGCTGGGAAATTCTTGAGTAGCTGCAGAATTGGCGGCTCCTCCAGAAGGGCTCAGCTCCATGAGTAAGTAAGTAAGAAAGTAAGTAAGTAAGACAGCATCAAGTGCAACATAGTGAGAAAGAACAGGCTTCTACATGACACATACATTCCCTTCTCCGTTCAAAGGTCATTTGAGAAAAATATTGTGTTATTTTGTTCAACTGCATTCACTACCAAGAAAACACCACTTGCAACATCCAAGGATAACATTAAAATGTACTTTAGAGAAATAAAACAACAGACTGAGAATACATGCTAACCAAATAATACATGAAGTGAATGAATTGTATCATCAACGCTGCTGAAATATTACTGTGCACAGGATCTGGCTAAAAATGT